TAAAATACAGCAACCTGTATTTTTTGTCCTTAAACTATCGTAAAAAGTTAATTCAGAGTTTACTTAAATCACTGCTTAGTTTTCTTTTAAAAAGATAAAATAAAGAAGTTGTCATTTGATAATCTAGAGACTATATGCAATGACAGTTGATTGCAGAGTAATACATAAATCCTCTGGCCAGCAAGTAATTGATTAATAAAGAAGCCACATCTCCTGCAGCAGCAAATGCTCTGTAAGGTATAGAGAGAGTAAAATCTCACCAAAACTAAAATTAATCTTGCAGTGAGTGAATGTCATCCCCCTGCAGATGATGAGTATAAGCACTGTGGCCACAACTCCCTCAAGATAAGAAGCCAAAGGTGTTACACTGATATCACTGTTGCTTTTACCCCTTATTTAGGAGTAAATTACCACAATTTATATTAACTTAACATTTTGGAAATCTTCCCAAATTTTTGCAATAATTTTCATTGATATTTCTATTTCCTTGTAATAACCACACATAAAAAGGATGTATTGCATAATTGAGTTGCCCACTCAAATACTTTTCATTTGAAAAAGGTTCATTTTCATGTGCTGGTTGGTGTTTGCTGGATGTTGGAAATGGCAACATCTTATGTGTACACATTTGTGCAGTGTCACAGCATTCATGGATATAGCCTTCTGGGAGAAAATTTGTAATTGCATTTTGAAGATTGTACTACCAAGTATGTTCACTATCATACAGCTTACCATATTTGAACTCATGAAAAAGTATTTCCATTAGAAACTCTATCTACTTGGTCTATGCTTGTTCTTCAGTTATACCTAGAAGAGTACAACTGAAACCCAGTGGCATTGATTTTGTATCTTTGACACTGCCTCGGGCCATATAAAGCAGTGCTGCAAACCAAAGGGCAAAATTTTAAATGCATTTTATGTCTAGATACTTAGGGCTCCAAAAATTGAAGAAAAAAAATTCAGGCAAATACATCCAAGTCAATTTTGATAGTGTATGGGATGCTTTCATTGGATTAAACACCTGAGGGTGTTGACTGACTATGGATAAAATGGTAATCCAGAAAACACACAAAAATACTTGTAACACTTCTGAGGATAATCTTATCGTTCTCTTTGAAAAGCATATTCAGGTATGTTCACTTCACCCTTCTTAAAAAAAAAACAAAACCAACAACAAACCAACCAAACAAAATTACAAGCAAAAAACAAAAAAACAACCCAAAAACCTCAACAACATAAACCAGCTCCATTTTGCTCAGCCAAGAAAGCTCATAAAGGTGAAGAGCACTTCTCATGGGATATAAAATGTGAATTATATTTGGAAAATAAACCCTAGATTATATTTGGCATTCCTATCCCATCTACCAACAACAGATGTTCTGTCCTGAAAGTGATGTAATTTTGACAGCAGTACAGCAACTTCTTAAATAAATTACTGATTATTGTAAGTAGTAGAGATAATTTAATTTTTTTTATTTTTTCAGCAATTATTTATGAATTTATGTTCATTTTATTCCAATTGTGTGTTCAGTGCTAAAGCTGATTTGTACTTGAGTTTTAGTCTTTTCTGTAGAGTTTCTGTATTGTTGCTGTTACTAAAGTCACTGTTCTTACTATTAGACATTATTTTTAGATGAGAATGTGGAATGAAATCCTGCCCCCTTTCCAGTCAACAAATTTCCATTTGACTTCAGTTGGGCAGGAATTTTATTCTCAGCATCACTCCCATGCTGTTCCCAGCCCACAGGAAGGTGAGAGGAACAATGGACAGGGAGCAGAAATACTTCAAGGCAGCAAAACCTCTTCATTGGATGTCCTGTGGTCTCTGTGAATTCAACCCCTTAAACCTCAAATCTACACGACAGGTTTTTTGAGGTAGGATTGTTAGGGCAAAGAAGAGGAAATGAGGATGGGACATACCTATTGATCTCATTCCTAGGGACGGATGTCACAATCTGCTTTCATTCCCTTGCTTGGGATCTGCCTGTGATGAGTGGGAAACCCAGTGGGTTTCTGTGCAAAGGCATTAAGTGATCAGAGAGCAGCATATGCCAAAGTGCAGCACGAGGAGTGATGAGCACACTGAGAAACTTGATCTGACTGGAAAAATCAATCTGTGGATTTTGACAGATAGTTCTGCATCATCTATAATATGAAATTCATTGCAGAGAATTTGGATGAGGAAATGGCCTTATGTTTTTATACAGAGACAGCCTACTGCCATATGTTTTCAGATATGAATCACACTTCATTTGTAGTGAAAAGCACTTGTGTTTCATTTAGTATTTTTGTGAACAATGGAGTTGTCAAAATCCGGTTTTATTCTACAGAAAGCGTCTGGAGGATTTTCTCTGATACAGTATCAGAGACATTTCTACACGTCAAATATTGGTGTTTTCAAGGCAGGAAATGGAACAGGGCTAAAGAGATTTTAGAGTTTATTTTCCAAATTTGCTTCATGAAGGAAGGACAGGTCAATGTATGAGCAGGCTTTATGTGACATTTGAACCATGCCTAAAACACGTACCTGTTTCAAACTTGTTTCTGGAGTCATGTAAAAACTGCCTACTCACTTGTCCCTTTCCTGATGGAAGTAGCAGCAGTAAAGCTACTGGCTTGAATTCTGAACATAACCATATACCCTGCAACTCCAGATAAGTTAATGGAGGTGCAGAAGGAACCAGATAAAAGAAATAGAATTTCCCCACAGGCTTTAGTGCATGTCATCCTAGGGTCTTCATACAACTCTAACAGAAGCCAAGCAACTGAAGAGAAGGATTAAAACTTTTTTCCAAACCACCCCTGAAATTCTTGTTTCTGTAGAATCATAATGTACTCGAAGAGTTACATGTTTTGGGGCCAGTATCATCTAATCTCCTGAAAAATAGGGGGTTTGTGCCAAAACCGGTCATGAGTAGACAAAACCTTGCAACACACGCTTTTCTGGTGAATCCAATAGCCTAGAGCAAAATCTAATATTTGGATACATCAAGTCAAATTCAGTGTCTGAGTGTAAGCCACTTAAATACGGCAGAGCTTGGACTATTATATTCATTTATGGAGCTCCTTGTAGTAGTTCTGAACCCAGAAATCATAAATAAATGTTCGTTTTCATTCACATACAGAGCACAAGATTTACAAATTCCCTCAGGTCATTTTTTGTCAGCAGGTCCAATAGTGATTAAAGGGAAATTAGTATGATACTACAGATAACTTGACTGAAAAAGTGATTGCAATGGCCAGTTTGACACAATTTTAAATTCAGCTACTGGAAAATATATAAATATGGCCCTTATCTTTGAGATGCTAGTACTGTCCTACAGTAGAAACTGGGAAAAGCCTGCAAGGTTGTCGTTGCTCCATGTGATGGGGCATGTAAAGCAAGGCAATGGGACAAATAAAGGCATGTGACTTGCCTTGCACTTTACAGATGGGAGGTAGGTGACTCAGTGCACTGTGCTACGCTTCTTACCGTATGATACCAACACACACTGGTCAAAAGTCGGGAAGAATAGTGGGGAATAAGTCTGGTTTCCATTTTGTGTCCCATCTCTACACAGATCTTTAATATATGAGATTGGATTGCTAGTTCTTTTTTGTCAGTAGATGTGTTATCATCTATAACTTGGATGCAACTCTACATAGAAACTCTGTTTACTTATTATTTACAGTGAAATCCCAGCTCCACCCTGGTACTCTTTTCAGCAGTGCAAAGGATTCATGTTAGGTCTCTGCAGACAGGCCATTATTTTCTTATACCACTACAGTTCCTCTGTTGCATCAGACACAGCATATTAGAAAAAGCAGACAGTACTTTGAATGAGAACCCCAATTACTAACTGAAAAAAGCAGATATGAATTTTTTAAAAATTTCATGTGCAGTTCTGTGCTGATATTTTCCTAAGGATACTCCACCATTCTAGTGTGACATGGAAAAACTGGCATACAACCCTCATTTTCCTGGCCAAAGGACTTGTGTAGTAACAGCCATGACCAAATGCAAGAAAATTAAAACAAGTAGAAGGATACTCCAATGCCACTCATACCAGTCCATTGATTATAGTTTGATCCAGAGAGTCTATAGAGTGATGTAGCCTGAAATTTGGTTAACTTGTTACACATGTGCCGCTAGAAACAGGCCTTCAGTGGCAAGCACAGTGGCAAACACCACTGACTTAAAATTTGGTAGCTTGGGTTTCTAAGTTTAAGCAACAGATTTTTCCAAACCAATATCTTTCTTCATTATACCCTAACAGACAGTAAAATTGCTCCTACTAGGAAACAGGACTAACTTCTTTTTAGACTGAAGGACAGAATACATCATTACTGCTACAGTTCTGTAACACATTTCTTTTTTCTTTTTTTTTTTTCAACTAATAAGTGTTTTGTGAATGAAAGAAACAGAGAAAGAATAAAAGACTTGATAATAGTTTTCTCTTTGTGATTATAGTAGCAACTAAGAAATACTGGGTTTGGTGAATATAAGCCAGTCTTAAAAAGGACAGTGGTCTTCTCCACTTTGTCCTGTTCTCAGCAAATACATGCTGAGATAGCCTAAAACATGCTCAAAGTTATAGCAATACATTTTTCTGTTTAGATGCTCATCAGTCACAAGAAGAGATGAAGATGAGTAACAGTATTGCCTTTTTCAGAATTCATCTAGCACATTAAAAAAGACTATAGACAATTAATTTGTACACTGCTGCATAAACATAATCTCTTTCTGCTAGGTATAATGCACCTTTGGAACAAGCTGCACACGACCAAAAATCCTGGGGACTTTGGGATCCATTTTGGCTGTGTTACACATAGATGCAGCTCCAAGCTGCATGCTCTCTTCTTGTGATCCCTCAACGAGGAATTAATATCCATAATGCATTTTCTTAGCTGGCTTGTTACGAGTTCAGCACTCCTGCCACAGGCCTTTCAGGAAGGTCCCTTGTATTTTTCATACTGAACTTGCAGATTTAAAATCTTGTGTTTTTCTTGTCTTACATGACTCATACAAACGGTGTCATCACTGCAGAGGAGTGACGCAGTCCCTGGATAGCTGCATAAGGACCCTGCTGAAAATAATGGTGGTATCTAGGCATGTGGAAGGATGGGAAAGTGGGGCCACTACCTTGCATGGAGCTGGCTATAGCAGAGGGTGTAAGAGGCATTCCCAGGCGGCTGTATGGAGGCAGAGATCCTTGGATTGGATGAGGAATGGGTGTAGCTATGGATGCAGTGCTGGTACCCAGGGCACTCAAAGACTGTGGATGCTGAAATCCAGGGAAACTGGTTGAAGATGAAACCCAGGAACTGAGGGACAGGTTATCAGATGTTGTAAAGGCTGACCCTGCAAGTAAAAAGAAAGAATGCCTAACATTGGCACTGCAACACACAAAGCTGGTAAAATAGCAAAAAGGGAGAAAAGGAGTCTTTCAGAGCAAGACTGATTTCAATGATCAGTTACCACTGGAAATACTTCTCAAATACTTCTTTATATTATTATTTGCGAGTTGCTGTCCTTTATCACTATCACTACATCTTAGACAAATTTCCATTTTAAGAAGCTGTTTGCAGTGGCTTGAACAGTAAAATTAGCTTTGCACATCAGGTGTTTTTAGCATTAAACACTAAAACACCTTGTAATGCTGCCACTAAACATTGAAGCATCTACTCTGACATGGAATCTCAATGCATTATCATCCTGTTTGGAAAACATGCTTTTAGGTCTTTACATCAGATCCTCAGCAGAACTGTTCACTTTGTCTCCTAAAATTTCAGTGTGGCAAAAAATGCAGAAAAATGTAATTTGAACTACAAGTTTTGCCTTTTTTTTTCACCCCAGTAAAACTTGTCAACACTGCATCTTTCCAATCAACCTTTTTCTACAATATAAAACAAAAATTTGAAAAATGTAAATGTCAAAACATTTGTTATTTTTTTAACTTTGTATAGTGCTCTAAGAAAAAACACTAATGCTAAATCATAGTAGGAGATGCAGAACTTGCTCTGAGGGCAATTATCCACTTTTAATAAAAGGGAAGCATTTTCTTTGTCATTTTGGTTTGGGTTTGTTTAGTCTGAAAAGTTCTGAAAATTATTTTCAGAAATCTTCCAACTCTTTAAAACACTTTTTCTCTGAAGTTTGCAGAATCATAAACATAAAGATAAAATGGTTTCTTTAAATTAGAACTATTTTTTTCTTTTAGGCTGACAGTAAAATTTTGGGGAAACAATTAATAATTTGTTTGGATAATTGCCATAGTCATTTTCAAATAATCTGGTGGTTGTGTTGCCCTTCACCTCTGCAGTTCCTCTGTGCATCTGCTCATCATCATCATATGTCTGATTTCTAGAAATGGAGAATATAATAAAATACTATAAATAAATTATTTTTATTCCTCTTCAAACAATAATTCAACTCATGCCCATTCTGTACTTTCTTTCTTGACTAACTTTGTCCACTGAGAAAATGTTTCTTTAGAAAATAAATCTATTGGCAAGAGTATTTGACAAAATATAATTTCAATTCAGTATTGCAAAACATTCTGAGACAATAAAGTTTTACAATAGGTATAAGTTTCATAAATCTGTTTCTAAAAGACAGGTTCATCCAAACTGTGAAATGAAAATTATGAAGACATCTATCTGTCAAGGTAAACCTGTTGGAATTATGTGTACTAACTAACCAGTCCTAGCCACATACTGAAACCAAAAACAACAACAGAAAGCAAAAGTGCAAATTGTTATTTTAAAAAAAAGCATAAACCTCTTTAGGGATATAGCCTCATATGAGAAAGAGAGTTACTCTTGATTGATTTCTCCTCTACTTATTGAGACAAGTAAAACAACCCAGTAACAGGAAAGGGAAATTGTGTCGATTCAGCACTGGAAACAAACTTGAACCAAATCCTGGGTCTACCACTGAACCAAATCCTAGCTGCTCGGAGGTTAGGATCCAGAGCCAAACTCTAAGAATAACACTACACTCACAGACCAGAGCAAAACCCTTGACAAATCAGAGGCTATCTGAGCATTATTGCACAATAGGGAAAGCAGGATGTGAATCTGGATTTGCCTAGGTTTACATTTGGCTCTATTCCATGTGGCTGTTATGAATCCTGTGTGTGGATGCAGGCACACAGATATGATGTAGTAAAAGAGTTTTAATTGTATTTAAATATTTCATATCTGCTAATTCCTTTGGAAATAGACTTCTCGTGAAAAATGTACCACATAGTCTAGCTGCTTCCATCTTTAGATGGCTGAAATTTGTTGAGCAGAGAATGCTCTGGGAGGGTGTGGAAGTAAGTAAAATGTCTATCACTGCTATTTATTTCTTTGTGCTACATGGAATAAACTATGCCATTCTTTCTCAGGAATGATTGTAATAATCAGAGGACTGGAGCACCTCTCCTATAAGGAAAGGCTTAGAGATTTGAGGTTGTTCAGCCTGGAAAAGAAAAAGCTTCAGGGAGGCCTCCTTGGGGCCTTTCAGTACTTAAAGGAGGCCTATGAGAAAGTTGGGAACAAATTTTTTAACATAAACTGTCATGATAGAATAAAGGGTAATGGCTTTAAACTAAAAGTGGATAGATTTAGACTAAATAGTAGAAAGAAATTTTTACTATGAGGGTGGTGAAACACTGTCACAGGTAGCCCAGAGAGGGGATGGATGCCCCATCCCAGGAAACATGCAAGGTCAAGTTGGGTAGGGCTGTGAGCAGCATGATCTAATTGAAGATATCCCTGCTCATTGCAGGGGGTTGCACTAGATGACCTTTAAAGGTCCCTTCCAACCCAAACTATTCTATGATTTTCATGAGGAACCTCCTAAAGTATCCTTTCCTCCTCCAAATGCAATGGACTCTAACTGCAACTTCATACTCAAAAATGTTTCACATATCGCATTTGCCAGCACCAAGAAAATGTGCTCTAGCAATTCTGAGGCAGTCAAGGCCTCAGAGAACTTGTAACACCACCCAGCAACATGTATGTATTTAGCTGTCAACTCTCATGTATGGAAGAGCATCCATCAGTTTTGCGCACCAGGTAGTTTTAAAATGCATCAGAAGCAATGAAAATATCTATGGAATTTCAATAAGATCATTATTTCTCTCCTCATATCTTGGAGGACTTTTCTTTATTTAAAGATACCAGACCTAAAGAGAGAGCGAAGACAGTACCAGTTACTCATCTGCAAGAGCAGTATGTTTTACCTTCTGTGCATGCCTCTGGTTGCCCAGAACAATCACGTCTTGTGCTAGCATATGGCTCCCAGATTAGAAAAAGTTCATTGCCATAACTCATAATCTTCCTCACTTACTCATTTGCCATATTGCAAGCAAATGCAGAACTGTACCCTTTTATTATACATTAAATTAATTGTAATAAAGTATTATTTCCTCCTATGACACCTTCTTAGGGATTCTCTTCAGAAAAGAAAGGATTTAATGGCCAGCTCTCCTGCTGAGATTCAGCTCGTTCATTTTGTCACTCCTAGATGAGGACATCATACCAGGGAGAAATTTAATTCTTCAAGAGAAGATGCTTTGCTCTGAGCACTTCCAGCAAGGGAAGATTTAACACTGCCTTCAACAATAGCTGGCCTAGGATCTAACTTGACGTGAAGTGAGGTAATCCCCCAGAAGTACGTGAAAGGATGGCATCATACCAGATGAGGAGTTGCTCCAGAAACTCTGCAATCTAAGGAACTGCTCTTAGAATAGACGTGTAAGAACAAGCCCACCTAATCACATTTTGTTGAAGAGCAACTCATGGTTAAAAATAAGTGTGTTTTCCCTGCACAAGTCCGAGGAGCTTATGACCAGAAATAATGCTCTTATCTGAGCAACACTGTATGAAGGTAGAGGACAAGACAAGGGCACTGCCAGTCGGAAGACAGATAGAACTGTTTTACCTCAAGTGGCTGTGGCATATCAGGCAGGTCACAAAGTCAACACGCAAAGTATAATGCAACACAAGTTTATGCTAGTCAGCAATCCCACAGGGTGGGTTTGAGATCTATTTCCAGTGACAAATTATAACAGATGCAACTTGTCCAGTAAGTATCCCCACAAAGAATAACTCTGTCTTGCTATTACTTTTGCTACTGCTTAAGCAGACAAA